CTCAGCCCATTGCACTGAGTTTTGTTTGTCTCTTTTCTTCCCTGTGAGGGCATTGCTTTTTATTTATTTGTTTGTTTATTTATTAAGCTACTCCCTGGTGATTCTTTCTTTTAAGAAATATTTCCAGGCCTATGGCAGACTTCAGAAGAGTGGCTTCACTGTTAGGACAACATTCTTCTCATCTCATGCACAAGGCATTTCCTGTCCTATACACATGCAAAGAGAACAACTGGTAACCATCTTACTTCCATTGCCTCTGGTCTACTTACTGTTCATGGTGTTGTCCAACATCTGTAAAAGTTTGGGGTTGGAAAGTGCATTTTTGCCTCGAATTATAGGTAAAGTTTGAGATCTGTGCTGTTTATGTCCTTCGTGACCGGAAGTGGTATGCATCCTGGAACAGAGATGGGAAATGTGGTTGAAGCTGTCCACTAATGCTGTATTCAATATTCATTCAAATAGTGTGGATTGAGACAAATATAGAAAACATCTGCAAAGAAGCTTTTCACTGGTAATATCGACCACAAGCAACACAATGAAAGAGACTTTTAAATACATTTGAAGAAATTCATTTAATCACTAATAATAAATAGTAAGAAAGATATATAATATGACGATACCACAGTGGATGTCTATTTAGTATAGTTTGATTTTCTTCTTCTTTATTACCAAAAACCTTGTTATATAGAATCAATTGTCTAAAACTCTTGTCTGACCTTGTTACTGACTTCATTGTATGCTCAGACAACCATAAGGTCATACAATTTTTAGGGAGACGAGACCTCAATCTGTTATCTGGCCTCATCATTGCTTTTAAACAAATAAATGAAGTCATGTCCATTTTATAAGTGAAGAGGTAGCTACAGATGTGTTAACCTTACCAAAACAAACAAACAAAACAAAAAACAAAAACTAAAAAGACACTCAAAATAAAACTGTAACTCATTATTACTTCATGGATTTACAAGGATTTGAAAATGTTGAGTTAACTACTGGCTAGGCAGGAAGGGAATTAAAAATATATGTACTCATGGTCCTTCCCTTTCTTTTCTCTTCTTTCTTTCTCCTTTCTTTCTTTCTTTCTTTCTTTCTTTCTTTCTGCAAAGTACAAAATCTGGGCTGAAATAGCCATTTCTCTTGTCTGGTTTTGCACATGGGAAATCCCATGCATTATGATTTATTTGGGCCATGCCCCTTGTGGTGTTGGTGTGGGATCAGTGTCAGGAAAAGAGCCTTTGAAGGTCTTCTAGTTGCTCATCTGAGATGGCAATGACAATGGGACTTCAGTTTGTCTTTCAGTGCTCTGTAGCAGTCCACCTGGAGAAACCAGCCAGTGTGTTTGTGGAGTTAGGAATGCTTCCTGTTTGCCACATTGTCATTTCTGCAAAGAGTAGCCAGGCCATGGGATATTTGCTGTTATGTAAATTACCCATAAACAACACCTTTGTGAGACAGGCAGCCAATGGGAGATGCCTTTAAGAGTCAAACCTCAGAAGGAACTCTGGATTTTGTCCTTGTCTCCTGGTAGTCAAGGTTGTATGAATTTGGCTAGGCCAAAGGATCAATCTGGGCTGCAGCCTCGGGGAGCCTACTCTGGCTTACTGTGACTGACCTAGGACATCTGGATCCTGCCTGCATCTTCAGGGAGTAATGAGTCCTGGGATGTATGGCTGGTTCTTTGGGGTCTGAGTTTTTCTCCCAGGTTTTGAGCCTATTGCAATCTGGAAGCAGCAGGAGTTGGGGGCAGGGGTTGAGGTGCAGGGTGAGGGAGTGAAGGGGGGGGGGGGGGGTGGGGGCAGCAGGAGGACAGAGAGTGGGGGGGGGGGGGGGGGGGGGGGGGGTGCTTTCATGGAGGCTGGGACATGAAGTAGGGCACTGGGGCCGGTAGGTGAGATAGTATAGCCCATGCTCACTCCAGTCCTCCCCTAGCCAGCCGTGTGGGTGACACCAAGCATGGCATGATGAAGTTCCGTGAAGACCGAAGCCTCCTGGGTCTGGGTCTGCCCTCGGGTGGCTTCCACGATCGCTACTTCATTCTCAACAGCAGCTGCCTACGGCTCTACAAGGAGGTTCGGGTAAGCCCTATGATGGACATTTGTATCCATGTGTGCTCAGGCACTCACACACAACGATGCCCTTGGTCTCCAAGAGTGAGGTCCCATCTGAGTGTCTTGGCAGCACAATGGCTGACAATGATGTGTATTCTCCTGCTGTGGCCTTGAGTAGCTACTCAAAGCCTCTAGCCCCATGAGGCCTCGGAGTGAATATGATTGCCATGACGTCATACACATGCTCCAATGTTGTATCTGTGGTTTGTCACAGCTCTCACAAGAATATGTCCCATAATGACAGTCCTGAGCTGTACCCATGCCTGCTTTGCCCCTTCCTAGGACACAGCCCTCCTGATCTACTCTGCCCACAAGCCGGGTGTTCTCCTAGACCAGACCCCTTGGGAACCCCATCTTCTGCCCTTGCCATCCCCCTCCCCTTCCCCTTTACATCACTACATAGTCTGTCCAGACTCTAGACTGGGATGATGCCCTCCATAACCCTGCTCCTCTATCAAACAGAGCCAAAGGCCGTGGAGCGGGGCCCCTGAGACCGTGAGTAGCTGTGTGGGCCAGCTGCCAGCTGCCTTGCCTTACACCACCTGGGGCCAGGCGAGCCGGGTAGAGCTTGGGGACACAGTCAGGGCTCCCAATTCTCTCCAGGCATGGTTCCCTGTTCTCTTACCAGTGGTCACTGGCTCCTACCCTGGAGTACAGTGCCTAAACTCCACCCTTCATCCCTAACCCCAAACCAAGACCTTTTCCTCAAGATAGGATCCCTTGTTGGTGTGATGCTAGAGTTTTCCATAGTATGCAGAGAAGTAGTTCTTGAGTCAGCAATAGAGACCCACGTTTGGGCTAAGATTTTTCTTTCATCTCCTCTGCTACTCTCAGAGCTGCCCTCCTTCCAGACCTAGACAAAGTGCTGTGGCTGTCTGAATGCCTTTGACACTGTTGACTCTGAGGTGCCAAACTGGGACAAGACGTTCTCTATCAGGGATGGCTGTGCCCACCCAGCTTCCCTAGCTAGTGGCTCAGCTTTCTTTTGCCACCCATGAGAGCCCTCCACTCTCCTCTTGAGGTTTCCCAGCCTGTAACTTCTGCCTGGGGTTTCCCCTGGCTCGCTTCAGCTGAGAATCCACCTTCTGTGGATACCTGTGGGTACCACCTTTGCCTTAGGGCACAGAGTGTAGGTGGTTATGCAAAAGAGCAGTAGAGGTGCAGTGACAAGCCCAGTATTCCAGCCTGAAGTCCATGTATGTATGTATGTATGCATGTATATATGTATGTATGTATCTATCATATCCATCTATCTATGTATCTAGCTTTGTATCCATCCATCTATCCCATTCATCATATCCATTTATCTATGTATCTACATATCTATCCATCATATCTATCTACCTGCCTACCTATTCTAAATAATGAAATCTCTCTCTCTCCCTCTCTCTCTCTCTCTCTCTCTCTCTCTCTCTCTCTCTGTGTGTGTGTGTGTGTGTGTGTGTGTGTGTGTGTGCATGCACTCATGCCTGGTGTTCTCTTGGAGGTCAGAGGACAACCTCAGTTGCTTGTTCTCACCTTCCACCTTGTTGAGACAGAGTTTCTTGTTTACTTCAGTGTATGCTAGACTATCTGTCCTGTACCTTCCAGCAGGAAGGGAATTCTCACAGAAGTGTTGTGATTATAGACTCAGGCTCTGTGTATGGTTTATGTGAGTTCTGGGGATCCAAGTTCAGATTTTCATTCTTGCAAGGCAAGTACATTCTTTACCATTGAGTCATATTCAAAGCTCCATGCACTTAAAAAAGACTGTATTAATCTATTGGAATTTTAAACAATTACCTTATTATATTGCGCTTTCCCAGGTATCTAAAATTTTGAAGACAAACACTAGAAAGGGGGAAAAAAGTCACAATCTTGTTACTCACATTCTTTAATTTATACACCACAATTCATCTAAATATATGGAAAGAAAAATAGTAAATTTTTGTAACATATTCCATAGACTATTGTTGATATTTATTTACCATAGGCTTCTTTGAATGAAGAGTGGCATAGGGAGCTATTTTGAAAGTTCCATAAAATAAGTGATTGGATCAACTGTAAACTTACTCCAAGATGCTGAAGAAGTCTGACACCTCTGGGCTGGGAGCTCTCTGCCAGTAGGCAATCAGAGTCTCTAGAAAGAAACAACATGGCGTGAGGCTCTTGGAAAGGAGGGTTTCTTTCTTTTGCTCCTTGTACATTGACTTGAAGTCATCCTGCTTACCAACTGAAATGGTCTTCATAATATGAAGGAAGCACATAAGGAGACTCCTCGTTTCTGATTGATCTAATTTGTCAAATCGCAAAGTTGACCCAATCAAAGATAAGGGCCTTGGGATCTGGGAATGGAAAGACCAGTAGTCATGGGTGAGGCTGAGAGCATCCTGGCTTGCAATTATGGCATTAGACATGCGTGGTGGGGCGGGAAGCTGCACCTTTTCACAGTTGTCTGTCTTCTCACTGCTCTTCTCCGTGGTGCTTGGGTTGGAGTCGAGGCTTGCTAAGGAGGCTCTGGAATCTGCATGGTTCACTGTAGAAATAGCTATTGATGAAAATGCTGTAAACACAAGCCACAGCACACATAGGGTGATGAGATGTATGAGCACAAACAAGAATTCAAATGATGAAACAGAGTTGCTCATTGTTGAGGTGGATACAACATTGTGAAATAGAATCTGGGGTTGACATGGAAGCCATACGACATTTAAAACATTACAACAGTGGCCATGATGGATTTAGAAAAATTTAAACCATTTTTAGTGGATATAAAGTTTGTTCTTTTGATCTCTTAAAATGCTTTAAAAAATAGTCAAAGAGAACTCTTACTTTAACAGAAGATGATTCAGGGGAAGGAGTATTTAACTTGACAGTTTATGAGAAATAAAAATGACATTTCCAAAATAGTTCTTAATATAATCTTTGAAGCTGAAGAGCTATTATATTTTAAGAGGCTGTGCATAACAAAAAGCTAAAGGCTGTTTGCAGAATGAAGCAATTTGATAACATCTGAACAGACAGCACTTTAAGCCAAGTAGAAGTGGAAGTCACTGGATGACAGTCAAAGAAATACGTTAACGACTCTAGTTATATAGTGGATGTGCTTTGCCAGGTACATTATACATATGAATTATGGACAGAAAGCACCATGATGTATAATGTAAACGTCAATGAGTGTCATACACAAGTGTTCTTAGCAGGTCTTGAGTTACCTGCTATGGAATTTAAAACATCTTTGGAAAATGATGTATCCACAGAAGTTGCATGTTTCATGGACGTCTGGGTTTGGAATCCTCCATTGGTGCTTAGGTCGTCTCTAGAGCCCTGCATTCAAAGTGGAGAAGAAGAGACGAATGAGAATTAGGGTGTTTCAGAATGGTAGGCCCACATGCCTTTTACATACCTCTCAATTAGATCTCCAGTGTGACATTTTATATTGTAGCAAAAATGTTCCACTGAAGTTGGCTGTGAAAATGAATATTGTCAAAAGCATAGTCTTGCTCACAATTTGCTTTTCTTATACAGTGTTTTAAAGTTTTTAATTCTTTAACAGTTCCCTTCTTCACACTAATTCCTTGTCACACTTTTTTCGTCTTTTGTTTTGTTTGTGTTTCTGCGTTTTGATTCACTGGGTTTGACAGACTACTCGAGTAGACATGGTCTAGCTACTGGAGCTCAACAATGGCTAGATGGTTGAAGAATGAATCCTTTTTCTCCAGCAGCCCTCCACTGCCATTAGCTCCCCATGGTGGGTGAGGTCCCAAGCTTCCCCTCCCCATCTGTGACTGAGTATTTACTGGCTCAGTCTGACTCAGGCTCTGCGCAGGCCATCACAGCTGTTGTGAGTTCCTGAGTTTAAAAGCCATGTCATATGACAGCATTTCACAGCCCTCCTCCCCAATGTTTGGCTCTTATATTCTTCCCACTCTTCCGGGAATTTTTAGAGTAATGCAGCAGAGATAATTACTGAATAGTAACTGGAATAATTACTGATGCAGTGATGTATTAAATTACAGATGTAATTATCAACATATTATGTTTATTACTATCACTAGGAACTAGATTTGAAATCTATATGTTCCAGGCATGGTAGTAAATGTTTTCTGTTACACAAATTTATATTAAGGATCTTGTTATGTTAGGCACTTTATCCCAGTTTTCATGTTTGTTTCACAATCATGGAAACAGAGGCCTAGAGAGCTTGGATAACTTTCCGAAGGGTATAGACTTGTTACTCGATGCTAATGGGATTTGATCAGGGTTCCTCAAACAAAAACATTTCTAAAGGCACAACCCCAACTTTCAGCGGGTCCTATCTTGGACCGTTACTTACTTAGGCTACCTTACTTTTGTGAGGGAAGGTCTCTCAGCAAACCTGGAGCATAAAAGTTTGGCTAGAGTGCCCAGCCAATGAGTCCTAGGGAATTTCCTGTCTCTACCTTCTCAGTGCTGAGATTATTGGTTCATGCCACAGCGTTCAGTCTTTTATGGGGGTTTTGGGGTCAAAAGGATCAAAATCAGGTCCTCATGCTTGAATGCAAGCAATTTATCAACCGAACCGTCTCTGAGTCCTTTAAAGAGATTGCTATCCTGTGATCATGCTGGCTGAGCGGAGAAGACACAATGGACCACATTGGGGCTTTGACTAGGTAAGACACTTAGCTTCTGTGGGAAAGAGACAGTGGGAAGTAGGAGGTGAATGGTGTGCCTTGAAGATAAGGCTATGAAGACATTATCCAAGCTGAGGAAACCGTGAAGGCTTGGGTAGTGATGCAGAGGATAAATAAAGGGAATGAAAACAGGCCTGAAGAGAGGGGTGGGCCAGGTAGATGCTGCGGGTGGCCATTAGGAACAAATGGTACTGGTGTGAATGCTTGTCAGATTGTGCAGTTTCACCCCTAGCTTGCTTACATGTAGGAAGAAATGGTTACCCGGGGCATCAATACAAATACGAGGATTTCCTTAAAAGACAGAAATTTGGAGGGATGTGCAAACATACCTGATTGGATGTATTCACTGTGAAAGGGTACAGGTCCTTCAGGTAGATTCTTGGCATATTGTCCAGCAGCATGCCATACAAAGGCATGTACAGGCTCGCTATCTGTGCCTGCTTCCTCTAGGTGAGAGCAGACAAGAGAAATGATTCACATGAAAATCAATAGACTCAAGGGTTTTATATTCATTTAATGCAGTAAGCCATTAAACGGTGTTTGGGGGAGAGAGAAAGAGAGGCCACTTACGGGTTCTCTGTATCGATCATCGAAAGAATGCTTGGCCATTAGATTTTTTAGGACAGCTAAAGCTAAGTGCCTGATATCTTGGTCCTCCTGCAGGGCAAAGCCGACTTCCCGGAGCAGAATTCCGATTAAGAAGTGTTTGCGGCAAAATTCATTTGTGACCGAGTATTCAGGCATATCTTTGAGAGTAGGAGACGATGTTATTGAAAACCACTTTACAATCACAAAAGGTAACTTGGACTGTTACTATAAACCCTGCCCCCAAGCAGGAGGGAGTACACAATACAGTCTTGCTACAGAGATGTGGCCCGTTGTGGCCTTGGGAGTGTCTGGTCATGTGGGAAAGCATTTGCTTACGTTAACACAGGCTCAGATACTAATACAGCATGTCAATAGCTACAGCCTATCAAGTGGCCAGCTCCCATCACTGCAGGGCCTAAAATAAAAACATGCTTTGTGTCTGCAGGAATTGAGAAAGATTCTAGGAAATAAGGGCTACACTGAGCTAGACCTTGGAAGTTGCTAATGGTCTGGAGTTATTGTGGGGGTATATGGAGGCACTGGAGATTGGGGAGGATGTTTGGAGAAGGGTAATCTTTACTTTCAGTGGCACAGAGTTCTGAAATGCAGACAGGTATGTGGGAACAGACATGTGTGAGGGGTTAGGAAAATGTGTCTAAAGAGGAAGTATGGGAATTCAGGTTTGAGATATTGGTGGTAGATGGTAGAGAAATCCAAGTGTAAATTCTGTATCCAGCACTTAAGTCCACCTGGAACCCCGGTTCCAGGGGATCCAATGCTCTCTTTTAGCCTCTGCAGACACCAGATACCCAGATGACACACACACACACACACACACACACACACACACACACACACACACACACACACACACTCTTTTAGCACTTAAAAATATCCACCTCAAAAAATGATAAAACATAAATAACCTATACAAGTTAATGGTAAAACAATACCCCAAACCCCAATAATCATATTGAAAAGGTGGTAAGGAATTTGAACAAGCAGTTTTCTAAGGAGGATACTAAGGTTCCCAGCAAGAGGATGAAAAAGGTGTTTAATACCACTGATAACCAGGAAAGTGCAAATCATAGTTACAATGAGCTACCAGCACATTCCTGTCAGAGTGGCTTACTAGCTGGTGTCACATGATAATGACTGATAGGGACAGAGTGGAGAAGCAGGAATCCAATACACTGTCCAAGTGGTTTTGGACATTGGTACATCCAATATGGAAAACAGAATGTGGATTCTCAGATAATAAATCACATAACTTCATGTAGTAGTACAACTTAAGGATATATACCTAAAAGAATTGAAGTCAGAACACTTCTTTTTTTAAAGCAATATATAAAAAACATAAAATTTCTTCAAGTGAATGAGGCAGAATGCAACGTTTATATATGTACACACACACACACACACACACACACACAGTGTTTTATAATGTTTAAATCAATAAAACATATCTATCTCCTAAATATTTGTTATTCTTCTATTATAAGAACATTTAATATCCTTTCTTTTTGCGGTTTTGAAATGCAGAGTGTATTGTTGTTACCCACAGTTCCTCTACTGTGCAACAGGGACCAGTACTTCTAGCTATGGAACTTGTTATGTTTTGATCAGCCTTTCTCCTTACCTCCCTACATACTTCCAGAGCCTCTCAGAACCACCACTGTTTTTAGAATCACATATAAGCGAGATTAAGTGTCATTGGTCCTTATTTCTGGCTCACTTAACTCACCAGCATGAGTTCAAGTTTCATCCGTCACGCCACAAATGACAAGGTCTCATTTTTAATGGGCAAACGGGATTGTACCTTACAAGATACACGTTGTTTCTTAGCGGTTGGAGCCCTAGGCTGTTTCCATTTCCTGCCTCCGGTGAATACCGCTTCAGTGACCAAGGAAGTGTTGCCTTCTCAAGAACATAACAACCATACCTTTGCTTATTTACCTAGCAGTGGGATTGCTGGATCATATAGTAGCTTTGTATTTATTTACCTATCTTGAGGGACCTCCAAACTGTTTTCACTTATGGCCTTATGAATTTACACCCCCACCAAAAGTGTACAAGGGTTCTCTTTTCTCCACACATCTTGTCAGCATCTGCCATTTTAGCCTTTTTAGATACAGTCAATCAATATCTTAAAGAAACATCTGCCACCCCACATTTACTGGGATTCTATCACAGCGATATGAAAGCAGGGAAGGGAATGTTTTGCTTTTTGCAAATAGTAGAGGAAACTGGGAAGTGAAAACGAAAATACAGATACTGCAGGATCTCATCTGTGGATATTGAAAAGTTGAGTTTCTGCAAAAGTGGTTTTGAGGGGCTGGGGTGGTAAAAGAAAGGAGGCATTGTCCTCCCAGGGTAGAAGTCCTTGGGTACAGGATGAATGCATTATGAGACCAAGTTTGTAGCACCGAAATGTAGTTAGTAGTAATACGTTGTCCAAGTCACATAGACAAAGCTGTAATGTACGTATCTGGGAACTTTATTTATTGTACATATGAGGAAGATTCCAGATGACTTGGGAAGTTAAAACTTTGCAATGCTTAGAGAATAAAATATAAAAGAATTGAAGGTAAGGTATCAAATTCTGTGTGACAAGAGAAAAGTTTAGGTAAGTGTTTGGATATGTTGGTTATATGTTAACACATAGGAGTTTTGTAGAGTCTGCGATCATCAACATGAAAATATGGCTATAGTTCTTACGCAGGTAATGTGAAATATGATTATTTACCTGAGGCATGTAACTCTTGAATGGATTCTGAAGGGGTCAGAGGATCTAGATTTAGTATGAATAGAGAATAACTTCAGACACATCCATACTCAGATACATATAAACATCCATTAACTAGTTTAGTTTACAGTAGAAATTTAAAACATTTTAAATTATTTGCTATTATATCACCATTTTTTCAAGAAAAGTTAGGTTGTATGCCCCCCCAAGTAATTTCATGAACAAAATTATTTTGATTAATAGCTTTGTATTTGAGAACCAGGTTTTTGTACCAAAAATATGCCCACTATGGAATATATAACAGATTATCAGGACTTTTTCTGTTTTGTTGACTGAAATGAATAATTGGAACTAAAATGACCAAACAAAGGTTTGATCCCCTTCTGAATATCTTAGCCAACTTACCTTGCCAAGAGTAACTTGACATTAACTTAAAAACAATTCTCCTCCTCTTTCTCTTCTTTCCCTCCCCCAACCCTTATTATTTATTTACCTTTCTTGAGTGCTGGGGATCAAACCTCAAGCTTCACACATTCTAGGCAAGGACTGACTCTATTGCTGAGCTACACTTAAGTACAAACAAAAGAACATCCCAAACAAACAAAAAAACCCAAAGCCCAAAAACGTTATTGTCTGACCTCCAATTTCTACTCTTTCTCTCTACTACGGAATATACACAATGTACTAGAAAAAAGAATGGTATAATGTTTAAAGATTATATTTAAAATTAGAATAGTGACATATTTCTAGGCCTATGGCTGCAACTTTCCTTCTATAGTGTCAGTGCAAGCTGCCATAGGTATGAGGAGGCTCTTTGCCTTCTTATTTTCTGATTTCTTGACCATCAGTGTGAACAGTCTAACAGCTTGATAGCAAGGTACTTCAAGCCCCGACTAAACTTCAGTATTCCCTTTGTGTTTTGATGCTCAATTCGTTTTTGATGTTTACATTCTCTTGTGATTTTTTTCCCCCATAGGTACATACACATGTACGTATAAAGGTTTTAAGTTTACAAAATAAATTAAACCTTAGGTATATAATTTAAAAATAATAATGTATATCAAATTTAGTAAATAAAATGTACTCCATTCTTACATCTTTGCCCAATCTCTCTCTGTCTCTGGCCTAGGAGTGTCAAAAGCTTATAATACGGTTTCCTTCCCTCCCTCCCTCCCTCCCTCTCTCCCTCCCATCCAATTTTCTTTTCTTTGCACAACTCATTCTAAAAACTTAATCTAACACAATTATGCATGCTAATTAGTAATCTCCACTGAAATTATACTCACAACCTTTCCCTCCCTGTCTTTAGATATCGAAAACCACGGGAATCTGTGTTTTGGAGCTAATTAGCCTGTAAGTCCCACCTGCCCAAAGACTAGGTAACTTCCTCGATTCTGGGAGTTGCAGTTCTTGAAAATGACAACAAACCTTCATGGGAAAGTATGGTGGCCTATGGGCTTTGTACATGTAAGCCCTGACAACAAGTGTCTCAGGGCCACTCAGCTGGAGAGTTTCCAGGAGTGGTCCTGACCAAATTCTATCTTGGTCAGTATGTAATATTTTAATAATATATAAAAGCTTGCTTTAATCTGGTCAAAATGGAAGAACTGGTTTTTCTCCAGTGCATCTTAGTATTAACAGTTACAATTCTTTGATTTATAATAGCAAGGTTTAAAGTTCTTTTGGCTTTCTCTTTTATAAAAATGGGAGGAGAAATAGAGAATTGCAGTCATGGACCACCTGGGACAACTTCTTCTGGGTCTTCATCAGATTTATTAGGCTTTCATACTCAACTTACATCTTTAGACAGAGTGGTTAAGGACACTGGAGAACAGAGGCAGAGCAAACTACCAGCCATGTAAGGACTCAGGAAGACACTGGAACTTGTTACCTGGAATGTTCGCTGATCTTATGGGGAGGCACAGAGGAATGAAGTGTTCATGTTGGCAAACTTCTTGAAGAAAATCAAACTTATACTGGCATAAAGTCTGGAAGAAGGCAAACAGAATGGCACTTGTTTACATATCAAGAATGTTCATAAAAACAGGCAAAAAAAAAAAAAAAAGGCATGTGCTTCAATCTGGCCCCTACATGGAAGAAACAGCTAATTTTGTATGACCACCAAGTAGTTCTTAGGTATAAAGGAGTCTGCTCCCTCAGAAGTGCTTCTTGTAGTCACACTCCTGGTCCTTGTACTCTGATGAAGGCAACCTAAAGAAAGGAGACCAACTATAACCCACATTCAGTTTCTATGAGAGAAAACCCCAAGTCAAGCTTTTAGCTTATTTCATAATGTGTTTATTGTGTCTTCAGCCCTGTCGCATCATGCGAATGGAGCTCTCCCAAACATGGAACTCCAATCACAGAACAGATTATGATCATGAGGAGGGGAAGTCTACAGTCAAGGCAGACAATGGTATATACTACCCCAAGTGGAGTCAGCTTCACACAGCACTGGTTCTTAGCGTCATTTAGTTCCCCCTTGCCCCCTGCCTTTGCAAAAAGGCATGTCTTTTCCATAACATCTGGATTTGGACAGTGAACCACAGAGTTTACACTTGGTCTAAGATAACTGTAATTCACGCCTTAAGACAATCACACCAGTAGGAATGATTAGCACAGTTATAACAGTTTTATATCCTCTCTCATGTCTGATAGGCGATCATTCTTTAAGAATGAAAACACACCCTTTTACCTCAGATTAGAGCTCTATTTTCTGGCAACAGCATTCTAGCAAGTTAGATTGCCACGACTATATTCACTACTATCCGTCCACAAAATATGAAAACACCCTTTTACCTCAGATTAGAGCTCTATTTTCTGGCAACAGCATTCTATAATGTAGAAAATTGCCATTTAAAACAAGAACAGTCTTTGATGTGACCTTTTGTACATGAGCAAGTGTATAAGTAAATTATACACACATTAATTATTCTTCATTGAAAATATGTCACTTGATCATGAGAAAAATATGTAGGTCTAGTAAAATTATACTTAAAAGGAGATTATTTACATATAATGCATGATAGGAACACAATTGAATATTCCTTAAAGAAATAGTCAAAGGACCTTTGGGATAGAGCTAAGGCTAGTCCTAAAATACAGTTTATATCATGAGTGCATCTATGAAAAAAACAGAAAGATATCCAACAAATAACAGTGTATATCTCATAGTCTTAGAGAAAGAAGAACATACCAAACTTCAAAGGAATAGATGACAAAAATGACCAAGGTCCAGGGAAGAAATTAATGAACTAAATACTAAATGAATAATACAAAGAATCAATCAAAGCATTGCTTCTTTGAAAAGATAAATATGATCAACACACCTTTATCCAAACTAACTCAAGAAAGGAGAGAAGATACAAATTAATAAAATTAGAGATGAAAGAGGGTATATACAAAAGCACATACATACAAAGTACCTAATGCACACACAAAGCACAATGAATGTAATACATACAAAGTACAAAAATGTATTTTGAAACCCAGTACAATGAAATCCAGAAGATTGTTAAGGAATACTTTGAAAACATAACCTTGGGACATCATCTACAATATAAAGTAAGTTAATAATCATACATTATCTAATAAAGTTAAACCAAGAGAAAAAAACAACTTAAACATCCATAACAATCAAAGAGACTAAAATACTCTTAGGAAGCCTGCCAACAAAGGAAAATCCCAAACCAGACAGTATAGTTCTTATTTGAAGACTCATTAGGTCAGGGTGACAGGTAGACACACACAGAGATCACCTTAGTTAGTTAGTATGCTGGACTTGGCAAATGATTGTTTCCATTCCTGGTTGGTCCTTACCTTGAACTCACCAGAGGAGAACATGCTGATGTAATTGTTCACCATCTTAAACACGAATCCCCGGTCCATAAAAGTAAAGCAGCGCTAAGAAGATAAAATTCCAAAGTCAAATCTTTTTACTGGAGGGAAACGATGATTATATAATGAATCAGAGTAATATTTATCTAACTGTGCCTTGTGTTTAAAAAAGTCTACAAAGGATGTCAAAACACCCATCTGCATATACCAACTAATTAAAATGCCATAGATAATACAAATGCATGAAAATTGCAAATCTGTACCTATCGGCTCTTTAAAATATTGCTTGGAATCTTGCAATGGGCTATTTTAGACCTTCCCTTTCATATATAAAGTTGTCTGCTTTTTAATTACTTGGTTACATTTTATTATTGTTTTTAGTATATTGATCCCAAGTTGCTCGGCTGGAGACCATCTGCTATACACCGTGGGTGGGATGGGAAGTGGTAAAATAGGCCAGCAGTCTTTTCATTCTTATTGGCTTCCTTCAACAGGAGCCTGTTCTCTATTTCATCCAGTGAAGTATACATTTAAAGAAGAAAGGGAAGATCCTGCCATTTTTCATGGGGGAGCTGTTTGTGTCTTGCTTACTTTGTTGTGAGATTCTCCTAATCTAGAGCCAGGAAGGTCTTAGGTCAAATTTATAATGGGCACATTGATGATTATCGAATATGTTCTTCATTCAGTATTTGGCAAAGCTACTGTTTCTACCAGTTCCCTTTTCACTCTGGACTCTGGTTATTTAGCTTGGTATGAGGAACTGACTTATGATGACCACTAAAAATGATTGTGGGGGAATATTCATTTGTTCCCCAAGTACAGGTTATCTAACCTAACAGATTAGATAGGGGGAGTTCATGTACGCTAGACTGATAGCTGGGAAACCAGCATAGGACTGATTCAGACCCCCTGAACGTGGGTGTCAGT